TTTTAAAATTCAAGTGTTTAAGTCCACCCACGACCCAGTGAAGCCTTCGATGAAGCACCTAATAGCCACCATATACCACAACAGCATTAAAAAAAAAAAAAAAAAAAAAATCACAAAAATTCAGATTTTTTCTTTGTTACTTTAATGTATGCAACTCAGATGCCTATACACCAATTACATTTGCACCAATTTATAATGTGTACCAGAAGCCTGACACAGTGGAAACATTTATATGGTATCTGACAGATAAAAGCGCAAATCCTATTTCTTTTCATTCTGGGTAGTTTTTTCCTAGCCCTACCCAGAAACCTAATTAAATAGATGTCTCTATATTGTGCCTTGAAGCTACTTTATACAAAGAGGGGTGGAAAGTGGAGGAAATTCCAGACCTGATGCATGTGTCATCTTTTCAAATTAAAATTCCCTGTCAGTTGACTAGCCCAACAAAATCACAGCCAGAAGTCATTTATGGAAAGTTCTTGTCACTGTAAGGCAATGTCTGTTGACCTTAACATTAATAACATCATAAGCTGAAATAAATTTGATATCAAAGATCACCACTGCAAAACAAGAATTTGCCAAACTAATTTCCTCAGGAATTCTATCTTCCTGCCAAATTGATAGCATTGAATATGCTCAGTGCCTTTGAACAACATTTACAATTCAGTGTTTGGTTACTGCGCCAGCATTTGGAGATATGTTTTAGTCAGGGCACTACAAACAACTATCACTAGCTCTTTCACATTCAGTGTTTGAGTCAAAGGAGCTAAAAAGAACATAATTTTAAAGATTGCTGTTTACTACCAACCAACTGGTGACCAACGAAGAAACACTAACATATGAAGACCTCTCCAACTGGCCTATGTAACCTGTTCTTCCTGATGACCAGCAACCATGCTGTCATTGTTACAGTGGTCCCTTGGCCAACAGCATAAGAGGAATTCCACTGGAATCATAATTTCAAGTTGTTTCAGAGAGTAAACTTCATTTCAGCATAAATTACAGGCTTATTAAAATGGATTTTTTTTTTTTTTTTTAAAGCCTAGTTAGGTACTTCAAATAGGAGAAAAGCAAGTGAAAGCAGGAAAAACTATGTAGAACTTTTCATTGCTAGATTAACTTAAAAGCATTTCTATGATTAAATGTGAATTTTGCATGTTTTTGAAGAAGGCTTATTGCTATTTCCACTAATGGTAAAATGAATTCTTTTTTAGAACAGGCATGTATTCTTGGTAATTTTGTTTATCTTCAGAAAACGGGATTCAGTTAAATTGTATTATCATTTCTACAGTCTTGCTTCAAGGCATAAAACTAAGCAAAACACATCATAGTGATCTCCAAGAAAACATTAAAAGCATCCTGCATGTACATTACATACGTGCACAATAAATATAGCTGATTTTCTTAGTGCTAGAGACTAAGACATTACTCCAGTGGATCCAGAGATACACTTTTGGCCATCATTTCCCTTTGCTGGAGCACATCAGCTACTTATTACAGATCAGTAAAATAAAACGTATTGTACTCCAGGCTACTTCCTGGCAGCTTGTATTGATTTAGGTATTTAATAATTAATCATCTCCTGAACGAAACTCTTCCATGTATTTTCAGCAGTGTCTACGGATGCCTTACATATGCACTACATATTGATACCAAATGAAAACAGTGGACTGCAGCTCTCTAATTTTAAGAGAATATAAACAACACCAGGATTACATTTGCTTAACTATTTAATTTTCCAGGAAGAAAATACAGATAACTTGACAAAGAACTTTTAGAATGGAAAGACTTTTAAGCTGCAACAGTAAAATCCTAAGTGAGGGGTTCAAACTTTGATGTCAACAGTGAAATCTAAACTTGGTTTAGTACTAGTAGTGAAACTGAAAAAAAAAGGATAAAAGATAACAATAAAAATATAGCTGCTGTACCTCACACAGAGAGAGCAAACACTTATAATCCCCCAAATTCAGCATCTTTATGCTTGGAAATACTGATTAAATACTGATTCCAATATCCAGAACCCGTGACGGTGGTGCCACTGGAATGGAAATATTCCTTTGACTTCCTGCATTTCCTACCATTAGCCTCCCAGTATGTACAGTTTAATCATCTCAGCTGATAGTTATTGGTCCACAGATACAGCAAGAGTTTGTTCCTGGCTTAGATGCTGCAGCGTACACTTGTATGGAGCTGTATGTACCCTATGTACTGTAGGGCATGTCCTCCGTACTCCAATGCCTGCTAGATCAAATGGGGTCAGTGATGAACCAAAGGTTCAATTCTGCTACAGCTAACTCTGAAGTACTGCTAGATTCCAGCTAACTCCCTGGTGAGACACCAGGTTCACTATTAATCACCTCTTGTCAACACATCCCTGTCACCTGGGTATCTCAATTAGCCACAGTGTTACAATCTCCACCTCTCAATACCCTAGATAATCCCAGGCTGCAGAATACATACTGTTCAATCAGTATGTGAGGCCTGAGAAATGATGAGCACAGGACCTATCATCTTTTTAGCAGTGCCACTGATCGATCCCAAGGCCTGAGAAGTGTCCTGAAGCGCACAGCTTACAGTACTTTTTGTTTTATGTCATGTTTAGTTCAGGACAGCAGTTTGACTGCATAGACTTTTGTCAGACAATGACTGCCCCTCTCCTAAAACAGACACGTCTTCTGGGGTTACCACTTACACTTCCTTTCTTTGAAGGGCAATCTGGCATGAAAACATCATCAGCAAACAGACAAACCAACCAACTTTCTTTGTCCTTTGTCGAATTTAAAAAGCATACACAGGTGGCAGATTCAACTTTTGAGGCTGTGATTTGTAACACAGCTCTCTATTTACAGACGTAGTGGAAATACCTCTATTCAGCATAAAAGAATTCTAAACTTCTGTATTATTCCTCAGTCAACAGAACACAAACTAATTACTGAATGTTCATGAGACGGGTCATTTCCATTTCTTAAATCAGCCTAAAAAAAAATACAACTTGGAGAAACAAACAAAAAAAAGCTTTTCTCAATGAGCTATAAGATCAAGGTCATCTTAAGCACTGAAACAAGGGGACCAAGTCTACCTCTCTGGACGTAGTATGACCAATTAGCTGACCCTTCAGAAAAAACATGTGGCTTAAACAAGAAAGCAGAGGAGGGAAAGGTGTGATCAGAAAAGAACAAGAAGAACACTGTGAAAGGAGAAGCAAGAGAAAGAGAAGGAAAAACAGGAAAATGATTTTTTTTTTGAATGGAAAATGTATGTTTTATAGAGGAATTTTTTTTTTTTTTTTCTTTCTTCCATAAACTTAGGACTCCTGGACACTCTAATAAATCAATTTTGATCATAATTTACTGCCTTAGAAACTAAAAATTGGCCTCACCCATTAAGATTTCTCATATCAATTCATACTATGGACATACATATGACATATGGATCAGAAAACAATCCATTCACATTGGGAAACCAATTATCTTATGACAATACACTGAGTAAAGCTGTTACTATGCAAATATCTACTGTATAAGTACTTAAAAAAAAAAACATAACTCAAGAATCTTGCTTAAGCAAAACTTAGGTTATAAAACCATTCCTCAGAGGTACTGCTTTATTATCAAAATTCAGAAGATCTCATTCTATATTTCTAACAGCTATAAACTTGCCATTTCCTATCTGAGTAGTACCATAGACCCAAATGGAATTAACAGAATGTGTTTGCATATTATTTAAATAGGAATAAGGGGGATTATGGTTACTGATAGCTTATTTCCTGAAAGGTAACCACTCAATCAGTTATAATAGGATTTTTTTTAATGCTAACATTCTAAAAGATTAACATTCGATGTAAGACACAATCTTCAGAACAAATGGCCATGTTAAAAATAATTCAGGCTTTTTCTTTTAAATAAACTGCTTACTGCTTACCCATTAATCTTTCATTTTAAAATGCTGAGCATAAGAGCTGATTACTTTGCAAACATAAGGTGTCAGTTTTGATATATCAACATGATGCCTAATGGAAGACAATGTTTCCAAATTCTTGGTTTTATGGGAGCTTCAACCAAAGAATTCCTTTCCTGTGTTTTCCCAACAGCTACAGGTGTTAAGGACACCAAATGTTTCTACTGGAAAAGGAGAGAGGGCTAAGGACAAGACCTTTCCTGCTACAGTAAATGTGTCAAAAGAGAGGCCTGCTACCAAATAAAATACTTTTAAGCCTATACTTCCCCAAAACTCTATAATGACTAATTCCCTCTGAACAGAAAAAAGGATAGAAGGACCATTGGGGTGCAGAAAAAAAAAGCTTCAGTATGACATCATTGCCTGTCTGCTAGCCAGGAAAGGAAGAGAAGGATTATCTGAATGGTGAACATCTGGATTGTGTATATAAAGGCAATGAAGAATTTTTATACATATTAGTTCACTGAGTTCCGCTGAATTTTATCTTACAAAGAAACAGTAGTGCTATGCTATGCTTTTATAATGAAAAAGCAACAGAAATTCCAGTGGTCTGGGTTAATGTATTAAAAGATACACACACACACATTTATCATTCACCACTTCTTTACTACATTTAATTGAAAAAGTTCAGTAGATACCCGAAGCTAAAATTAAAGCAAAAAAATAGTTTGGCAAAACTGGTTTTACTCTTTCTGTTAGCATTTCAGGTCCAAAGATAGTAAGTAACATAGTTCTGATCACACTGAAATCCAGAGTGTACCCAATCCTTCATCTCAGTAACATGAAGACTGCTTACAAGAAATGCTGCAGTTGAAATTCTCCTATTCCTTAAGAGTACAATTTAAACTAAAACTATACTTTTGTAATACATTTTTACAGCACAGCATAGCACATACTACATAAGTAGCAACTGTGCTTACATGGTTACTTGGGTTGTGCCCAGACACTACTAGTTTGCCTATAGCAAGTCTAAGAAGTTGCAGTATACAAAACCCACTTCTCTTAACTGTAGGTTAGAGCAATACGTAACAAAACATTCTTACCTTGCACTGTTAGAGTTGCCGATGCTTCAGCTTTTCCTACCATATTTTCTGCTACACAAGTATATGAGCCCATGTCTCCTGCTATAACCTTCCGGATTTTCAGGGTATGATCGTCACGGATTTCATACCTTTAAATATACATAGTAATATATAACTAAGGTAAGTGATACAGAATTAAAAACTAACAGAAAACTAAGGCAGAACTCTGTACAATTTCTATAAAGGCTAAGAGCAAGGTGTTCTACCACTAAATTTTTTTATTCATCCATTTCCCCTATAAATATTTGTGAATTGTTACAAATCGAGAATGTAAAAATAAACTTTTCAAAGCAAAATGTATCTATAAGTATGCAAACCTGACTATGATTTAATTTACAACACAGGTCAGTTTCTATGACATCACAAGAATCGGTGCAATACAATTGTAAAGAGCTCTATTGCAGAACGCTGTAAGTATTAGAATTCTTTTAACAGGCAAATTTAATAGTAGTTTTTATTTTCACCATAATTTTTCCATCCGAATTGAAGAATTATTATTTTTTAATATGCTTGAAAACACTGTCCTTGGGAAGACAAGAATTACTTAAAATTCGAGATAAATCACAACACATTCAATATTTTTTTTAAAGAATGATGTGGCCTTTTACCATTTTCTCTTCTTTTGTCACCTTTTCTTCCTCTGTACATAATGCTGTCAATGTGTTTCTCTTCGTGAAAAGTAGACATTTCTCTTAAAAATGCAATAGCTTTTATTAAAGCTATAGACTAGATTAACAGGAATCTGTATTTGGTTGACAACTAATTCTGCATCTTCTTCAATTCCCACCCACTATCCCCCCAGCAGGCTTTTAAGTGATGTCTGGGAATTTCAAGAAAATAAATAATACATCTCAGAGCTACGTTTCCTTTTAGTAAGGTATTTCACTTTTTGGCCTGAATTGCAATAAAGACAGGAAAAAAAAAATTAGACTCTTAATAACAAAACCAGGTATAATCAAGGCAGCTTGGTACATTAATATATTGCATTTCACATCAATTGCAATTCCAATCCTTCTTGTTGTTGTAACCTAATGTATCTGTTATACGTTCCCCATCAGTTTTAATAATTACAGAAGACTTATCAGGTGAAGAATTAATCCATTTCAGATATTACTGACTCAACTGAGTTTTGTTGTATTTGTGTGCTGTCACAACAGAAGTTTTGGAAGAAGTAGTTGTTAAGTTTTAATATAAATTATAATTTCAGAGCTCCATAGTAATTAGAAATGTCTTATTCTGTCTTAATTCAAGAAAAAATATTGCTAGCTGTCAAATGGCTACATCATGTACAAAACTAATTATCAACAGAAAGATAATTCTATATATTACACACACCTTGCTTTTGGTAATTCCCCATCATCTTTCCTCCATCTTACTGTAGGGACTGGGTCACCTCTTGCCTCACATTTAAACTCAGCGCTGTCATCCACAGTTACAGCCAAATTACTTGGTCTCTTCACAAAAGATGGTCTTTCTAAAAGGGGAAAAAAAAAAAAAAAAAAGGATTAGTCCAGCAGTTCTGTGCCTGAACTGTGAAATTGTGATTTTCCCTAAGTTCAATTCATTAGAGCAATGAGAACAGTGGGATGAATCCAATGGAGATTCTACCACTGTTCCTCTGCCACCTAGCCTCAGGATAGGAGCTCAGCCAGCAGACAAGATCTGTAGACATGTAGACAGCTAGCATTATTCACCTCAGGATCCAAACACAGTCTTCTTTCTTTTATATCATAATGTCAAATGTAACTGAAGGAAAACACAACTTAAACAGCTAATCTGTTTAAGTACAGATCCTTAGAAAGAAATGGACCTGCTCTGAAGTCTCAGACAAATGACTACTCATCTGCTGCAGAGCTTCAGACAGAGAGCACAAACTAAGTACTATCTCACTAGATTCCAAGTAATGCCCAGCACAGTATCTCTATGAGGATGCTTGCACATGTCCGCAGCAGCTAGAATTTGGTGCAAGCACTTCCACAGCTAGTTTAGAAAGAGATATTCTTCCTTCATGAACACACAAAGTAAGCAAAAGCCCATTTTTTCTGTATTATTCTGGTTCTCAAATATTGCTGTTATTTCTGATATAAGCAGTAGGACAAAGGTGACCCCAGTTCTGGATCACTAGAGTCAGATACATAGATTTTGCAGAGTTTTCTCCCATATCTTGAAACAAAATGAAATTTCAGCACAAACCATGCTGTTGTGGTAACCCTTCTACAAGCTAGAAATTCCAGGCAAGAAATCCATATACTTTTCTACATACAATAGGATCCAAAGCTTTATGATTCTGTGCTACCCATAGAATTTTACACCGGGGGACAGTGAAGCTTGCACAAGCACAAGAAATAAAAGCATTTTGACAACTACTGGGACACTCCCGGAATTACTCATCTGGAAAGGCAGTATCAGATGACAACAGGATGTCCATAAGAGAACGGGAGTTGCTTTGCATGTTCTGCTGATTAAGGCAGATGAACTTTTTTGTCTATAAAGCGATGAAAACTTTAAGGGAGTTGAGAAGACAGCTGCGTGTTTAGACTTGTACAACATACAGCCCGCTAAAACTGGAAGAGTATGAAGCCATTGGCATAATCAGGAACTGTAAATATTCAAAAAATACACTACATATTTCTAACAAGAGTACAAAAGAACGAGGAAGGGGGAAAGACAGCTTCATATTCTTAGAAAGTGACATTTGTGTTAGGTTTGACTAGTATGATACTTCATGAATATCACTTCGATGATACAGACAAAAACATTAGAAATTCATTATTATAAAGCCTTAATAAATGGTTTTAAAAAGACTGAATTGGAAAAGGCAACACAAAACCCTATAAAAGAACTTCCATTAGTCTGGAGGATGTCCAGACCAGCAGGACACCTGTCTCACAGAAAACTTACCTTTGTTTTGCTTTATAATGCTAGGCAAACAATATTGAAACAGCAACCTGATGTTCATGATGTTAATTAAAGCCATGTTTCACATTCAGTAAATAAAAATCAAAACAAACAAAAAAAAAACCCCTACATTTATAGACATACATACATGCATCTACTTTTTTATAGGTACAATAAAAATGTAATCTGAATGTACCAGATTAAGCATCATAGTAAGAACACTTAAGGGAAAAATATTTAACTTAATTTTGTAAAATAAAAAGGACTGACCTGGTAAGGATATGATTGCTGAGCAATGGGAAAAAAAAAAACAACCAGCCAACCAACAAAAAACAACGAACAAATAAGAACAAACAAACAAAAGACTCCTCAAAACAACCTGGAGGTGCACTGAACTCTGTATTGTTTCCATCTACAACTCTTGAAAATAAAGATTAGATTCTGTGTGCCTGATCAATTTGAATTCTATGTACTTAGGAAATATTTACCTGAAGACAGTTTCCTCCTCTTTAGAGTCCTATCAACCCCAACTTAGGATTGCGATCTCAAGTTGGGATTCAGGACTGCAATATGCAATTTCAGCGTATTTTGTACATCTTAGCTCCTGTCCTCTGAGAGAGGAATTGATGACAGAGTAATGTATTTGAAGTGAGGAAGCACAGAAGATTTCTACAATTACCCTTGCCTGCATATTAATCTTTATTTTCTTTTAACGCATTGAATGTTCTAAGTTTATTTATTGAGGATTGCACTGAAGAAGTCCAGTTGGAAGGGACTTTCAAAGGCCATTGAGTGCAACTGCCTAATTTCTACAGGATTTCCAGGCTAACCACAAGTTAATGCACACTAATGAGAGGGTGTTGTGCAAAAGTCTCTTGAACACTGATTGGCATTGGGTATTAACTACCTCTCTAGGACAACTGTTCCAGTGTATAACCACCCTTACATTAAAGAAATGTATCCCAGTGTCCAGTGTGAGCCTACTGTACCCTTCCCTCATGCTCTATGATCGGTTCCCAGGTGCAGAGCCCTGCACCTCCCTCTGTATCCCCATCTTAGGCAGCTGCAAAAAACAATAAGGTCACCTCAATTTCTTTTTCTCCAGACTGGCCAGTCCAAGTGTTCTCAGCCTCCCCTCATGAACATGCCTTCAGCCCTGCTATCAGCTTGGCTGTCCTCCTGTGGATGCTCTCAAGGACCTTAGCATTCTTTTTATATGGTGGAGCCCAGAACTATGCACAATATTCAAGGTGAGGCCACATTAATGCTCAACACAACAAGAGAATTGCCTCTTTTTTAACACAACCCAAAAATGTGGTTTGTACTCTGGGCTGCCAGGGCACACTGCTAGCTCACGCTGAGCCTGCTGTCACCAGCACCCTCAAATCCCTTTCTATTGAGCTGCTCTCCATCCATTCATTGCCCAGACTGTGCCTGTGGCAGGCATTACTCTGTCCCAAGTTAAGAATTTCCTTTAAAGAACTGCATGCCATTGTTGATGGCTCCAGTGTACTTAAAACCCTTTGCAAGGCCTCTCATCCCTCCAGGGAATCAACAGCACCTCCCAGTTTAGAATCATCAGTGAACTTGTTGAGGATGCACTCTGCTTCTGCATGCAGGTCATTGATAAAATTGGTGAACAGAATTGAACCCTAGGACATACTGTTCCTTAGTTCGCTTCCCTATAGTAGAGTAATAGTCCAAGAGCTTTTGTTTGCTTATTCATAATACTGTCATTCAAGTGGTAAAAGGAATTACAGTGATACTAGTTTGAGTGTCTATCTTTGTCAGACAATTATTTGGTAAATACAAGGAAAGCTTAGCAGGGAACACTTTGAAACTTTCTAATATTACAGTCTCTGGCTTATAATCCTCCCTCTGATCTAAAGCAGACCTAAAAGCAAAATTTCAACTTCCAGATAACGAAAAAACTATAAACAGAGGACTGATGCTGGAAGATATTAATGTATGAGGTCAGAATGCTTTCCATGCTTTTTGACTCGTATCTAAAGTCTGACTTGGTAAGACAGTCAAAGCTTGTCCTGTTTTAAAATAAATGCTCACTAGATTTTTCAGGATGAATATCAGAAATGTATTTGAAGAGAAAACCACGTGGAGTAAAATTGAAAGAAAGATCTCTCTGATGAATCCCTCTCATAAGTTTTCAGAAAGTAATATTTTCCAGCATAAATTACATGTAACAGTTCATACAGTGATTCTCTGGTTAGTAGTAGACTGATTCACCAATACTGCTGACTAAGAGCCCAGATTACTCATATAAACACAACTTTCTTTCAATCTTAGATTTTGCTTGGAAGTTTCTAAAGGCTACTTAATGATAAATTTCCTCCCGAAGTGCTTCAAAGGTATATTAAAGGTGTATTAAAAAAAACACAACAACAAAAAACAAAGCAACAAGACGGTGGATCACATGAAGCCTTTAGCTTCTAAAAAGTAATCACACTATCTTGCTGCATATTCCATCTCAACAACTTAAAAATGGCAGATAAGCTCAATTTATTAAGGAAATTACTGCTTCACAAACTCTGAACAAGACTTCAAGTTGTTTGCATCATATTTCTAAACATTAGTGAAAACAGACGACAGTGTAAGATTGACAAGATAGACCTTAAACCTGAATAAGAAGTTCTGCAGTCAGCAGGACTGCTATTCTGGACTTTCGTAGGAGCTGATTTTGGACCAGGTTGGCAGGGTCCCTTGGGAAGCAGTTTTGAAGGACAAAGCAGTACACAGAGGCAAAACATTCTTCAAGAATGACATCTTGAAGGCATTGGAGCAGTCTATTCTCATATGCTGAAAGAAAAGCTTGTGGGAAAGTAGACCAACCTGTCTGAACAGAGAGTTTCTTCTGGAACTAAAGAAAAATAATGAAACTTATGACCTCTGGAAGAAGAAGCAGGCAATTCAGGAAGACTTCAAAAACGTCATGAGGTTATGCAGGGAAGAAATTAGTAGGCCCAAAACCCAGCTAGAATTAAACTTGTCACTCCAGTAAAAGACAATAAAAATGCTTTTATAATTACATAAATACTAAAAGAGGGACTAAGGAGAATCTCCACCCTTTGTTGGATGTGAATGGAAACATACTGACAAGAGATGAGGAAAGGCTGAGATACTAAATGTCTTCTTTGCCTCAGTCTTTATTAGTAAAAGCAGTTTTTTTCTCAGGGCATCCAGCCTACTCAGCTGCAATACAGAGACAGAGATCAGCATGAGACCTTAATAATCTAAGGGGAAATGGATGGTAACCTACTACATCTACAAATCCACTGGGATGGGATCCATCCAAGGGTACTGAAGGAGTTGCTGGAGGTGCTTGCCAAACCTTTAATACTTTACCGGCCCTCCCATTTTAACTGGGGATGTCCCAGTTGACTAGAGTTGGTGAATGTAATACTATTGTACAAGAAGGGCAGAAAAGTGGATCTGGGGAACTACAGGCCTGTCAGTCTGAGCTTGGTGCCAGGGAAGGTCAGGAAACAGATAATTCTGAGTGCAATCACCTGGCATGTACAGGACAGCGAGCGTGGATTCCTGAAAGACAGGTCCTGACTGACCAGCCCAAACACGTTTTGTTACAAAATGATCCGCTCAATAGAAAAAGGAAATGCTGTGGACGTAGTTTTGCTCGAGTTAGCAAAGCTAAATCTGATACAGTGTCCCACAGCTTTTGCCTGGAGAAACTGGCTACTTGTGGCTTGGACAGATGCACTGTTTGCTGAGTAAAAGTCTGCCTGGATGGACAGGCCCAAAGGGTTACTGCAATTGGAGTTAAATCCATTTGACAGCCAGTCATAAGTGATGCACACCAGAGCTCAGTACTGGGGCCATTTTTGTTTATTTACAGCACTGGATATTAGAAGAAAAATATTCTCCAAAAAGATTGTCAGGCACATCCAGGGATGTAGTTGAGTTGTTATCTCTGGAGATGTTCAAGAAATGTTTAGATGTGGTACTAAGGGACACAGTTTAGTGAGGAAATATTGGTTGTAGACGGACAGTTGTACTACATGATCTTGGAGGTCTTTTCGAAACTTGGTGATTCTATGATTCTACGATAAACACTGAAAATTCTTAATTAAAGGCTTCCTAGGAAAAACAAAGTTGGACATTTTCGTACATGTGGATATTTTCATTAACACAGTCTTAAAGAAGAGTTCTTACCTAAAACAGTGAGCTCTGCAACTTCGCTTTCACGTTCTCCAACCATGTTTGTTCCAACACAAACATACTTGCCAGCATCGTTCTTTCTTGTGTATGTGATCATAAGCTTTCCACCTCTGATCTAGGACAAATCAAGGATAATAGAAAATAAGAGGAATGAACAATTTAACAGTATTTATTAACTTGAAAAATACTGAAGTTCAAGGCACATATGGAAGAAAATAATAAATAAAAGCCAAGGGGAAAACTAAATAAAAGGATCTAACGTGGTCAGTGACAGGAAGAGAGTGTATGTATGTGTACTCTCTATGAGGTATTTTGTTCAAGTTGCCTGCAGCTAGAAATCTATCCTTGAAAATGTGACATCTTGAGCAGTGTTGGTCTCTTATTATCACTGTAAGATGTACACACACAAAGATGACAGTCAGTTATTGAGATAAATGAACATGCACATATAACACAGATAGTATTGCATACAAATTTCATTCTTTTGCCTTTGGCATTCATTGTTTGAGAACATAAAAGATGCATCTTTTGTAACCCACAGTCTTGTAATGCTGTAATTTCAATGGGGATTTCAAGTATGAATAATAACAATAATAAAAAGTAACCTGCAAATGCACATATTTTAAAAACTTGAAACTTCTAGATTGTTAACCTCCTGAAACAATAAGCAAGGGGAGAGCATAACTTATAGCTAATAACCTATCTATATTTATTCTCGTTTTACCTATCCCTAAATCACAGAATACTACTTACTTTCAATTAATATATACAAAGGGTTTTAAAAAACAATTCCAGAACTATTTCCATATCCAGTTAGGAATACCTATATATTCAGATATAAGTGCAGAAATTAAAACATCAATACCGAATGTGCTGGATTTAAGAAAGAAATGTATTTGCACATCACAAGAATTTACTGAACCCACTGATGATTTCAAATCCATATAAATAGGAAGCTGTGATTTTCATACATGTTTTAAAAGCTTAAGTCCGACTGACAATCAGCAGTATTTGTGCTCCTCTGTGAATTTGGCATTTAAGAAAATCCCCTCCAAAGCCTTTACAACTTGACACAACTGTGCATTTTGCACAATTTCAACCACTAACACGAGCTATTCTTCTGAATTTCTTCTAGGAATCACCACAAATCCTCTTCAAAGCACAGATGGAAAAAAAGCTTTAAAGCAGAAACATTTGAACAATTAAAAATTACTGAAAGCTGATTTTCATCCAAGTTATTTGAGATTTACATAAGGATTTAAAGGAAACATTCTCTCATGTCTTGCATAAACCTATGAACATTCTCTTTCTACTCTCATGGTCTTTGAGGCAGATTTTCAAACATATGGCATGCCTACGGAAAGTAACTGTGGTTCCAATATAGAAATTTTTAACGCATTTAGATTTTTCTGCTTTATTTTTTCATTTAGGTTTTTTTTTTGTTGTTTTTTTTTTTTTGTTTGTTTTTTTCTCTTTTAAAGCAAAATAGAGGTTAAGAACTTCAGCAATAATGAAGACAACCTATGAATAAATATATGATAAATTACGCTATAATGATAAAATAATGATAAAATGTATCAGAAGCGCATGTAGAATTACACACATCTATAATTAAGCATTCACAGATGGCTAGAAGAAATTGTACTTCCTCTGCTGGTCCACTGCCCAGGTTTTCCATTGAGTTCTAACAATTAATTGCCCATCATCCAAGTAAGATTGATCAAGAACTTCTATTTATTAACAAGACATTACAAATTAAATCTGTAGCTATGACAAAATTATGTTCTATATGTGCCATGTTTGCCACTTTTTCTCTCAACAGAAAATCCTGCAAATACATACGGATTATGGACCAATAGCTTTATCTAACAAAGTACACAGTGGAATATACGTATGTGCATTTTTGTAGCTATATCATATCTGGTATCAAGAGCAGTAAGCAAACAAATCACAGATGGAGGTAGTATCTGAAATTATAACACATCAGATCTTTCTCTGCGGACACTTCACAGTTAACCATGAATTTTAGTTTGAGTGCTTCGAATCTTCTTTTCATATTTGTGCCCCCGCCTCAGAACACATTAACCGGACTCGAAAGTAATAATGGCTTGAAAAAGTAACAGGCAGTGTAACATTACAGGGAAAATTCCAGAAAAGCTTTTATATACTAACTACAAAGATAAGTCCTTTCTTCCCAGTGAACAAGACATACTAAACAACTTTCTTACTTATTCTCGTAGATGTTGCATACCTTGGGAAAAGAATTGCTTTGCTAACTGCCAAAGCCTTAAGTTCGATTTCGAAAACACGGAAGCAAGTATGATATTTTATTTATACAGGAATGATGTCATGTCATTTTCTGACTTTTAATGTCCCCTCAAGATTTCATACTGTTCTCTGCCTAACAATTTTACTAGGGTCCAGCAAGTAGAGAATATGAAAATAGTACTGAATACTGTTGGGAAAAAAAGACTGCAATCAGCAATTCACAGATGATCTTTGGTTGTATATAATACATATGGAGTTTCATACTTGCTAACAGAATATATGATAACACAGTGATTTACAAAGGCTTACTGAAAGTTATTTTCTATGACCTGCCTGCCTGATTATATTTTACTCCCCATGAGTAAAATGTTCATTCAAGCAAGTCTACTTCATGTATTTCCTTAAACAATAATTAGAGATGTTGATACAGAAAACTACAGGCACTCGCATAGCTAACTAGGTCCAGAATTGTAAATTATGACCACCCAGCAGCATAAAATCATACAAATAATGAATCAACTCGGTCAGCCATAAAAACTTACCCAAGGGTTCTACAACATACCACCAGGTATTCAGAATTTCTGTACAAATATATACTTATCCTACAACCATATTTTATTCACCTATGTTTGTGCGTTTGTAAATTTCTGTACATAAAAATCCACATCTGTCTGCATTAAAAAATGTTTCATATATGTGGGTGATACATTTTCTATTCAGAGAAATTTGCTATGTAATATGAGAAAAAAAGAAGACAAGAGAAATGATTAGCAATATATCCAAATACAATGATGACTAGCATATTTTTAAAATTTTTCTTTTACCTCCTAGTTGCATTCCATTTAATAAATGAAATCTGTCCCGTTCAATAATAATTCTAAAGCAAACCTAGGATACAGAATGAAACACTGACCTCTGTATGTACAATCATTTTTTCTGCATATGTAACATCACAAAACTCACATATTTCAGTCTTCTATAGTAGAACTTAATATCACATTTTATTTAGAATGAAATGTGATGGGAATGAGATATTAGCCTGTCTGATAAATTCTGTACTTTGTAAAGTGTAACCTCTACTTCTTAATGACAACACAACGATTATAGAACTTGGTGAGTACAAGCAATTGTAAGATTTATGTAAAGATATACAAGTAAAATTGTACAATTATTTCCTATTTAGGAAACACAGACTTCGCACATTTCTGTCCATATGGTCTAGCATTCCCAAACAGATTAGTACACCCACTTTATTACTTATCATTGCATCATAAGCTGTAAGGCATGGAATAGAAGCAATAAACTAGAATTTTGAAGTTTTAAGAGTGGCTGAATAAAAAAGGATAAACGAATATCTGCTTATTTTTTATTTAAAAACACGCATCTTCCTACAAGCCTTATGAATCCCATCTATCCTTCCCTACCTATAACAACATGCTTAAGCATCATTGCAAGACACTAGCCATCAAAACATGTTTGGCATAGGTCTCCAGCAATGTTCATTTCAACTTCAAAGTTCAAGCAAGTCTTTCTCACTTCTGGTTCTGTTTTCTTGGACCTTAAAAAGACATGTTGCCTTCTACAGATCAAACACAAAATACCACATGAAAGAAGTTTAAAAAAAACCTTTCATCTGGTCATTCTCCAATAAATCTGCAATGACAAAATGCAATTCAATTGTTTCCCAACACAACAGTCTTGCAATGATGACAGACTAGAAATCAGAGTTTATAATGAACGAGGCAAAATGCATACGAAGGTAGCTTTCCTTAAGAAGGAGTATTTAAGGTATAAAAATGACAACAGAAAAGCTGCTCCTTCTGGCACATCTGACAATTTGGTTAGAATATATGGAAAGTCAGAATCAGACACAGTTCTGCTCATGAGACATTTCCCTTCTTTTATGATCTTATTACTAATGACTATATCTATAAGAAGACAGAAATCTATGAAGAGTTAAGGCTTATGTGCATTCCGAATTGTTTGGTGACTTCAGAGGAAGCTGAAGGTTGTTTAGCACTTAATATTATCACGAGACACTAAATATCAGAATTACCATAAGTGTTTAATACTTTCCACAAGATAGTGAAAACAGGCAATATATATATGCAGAATGTCATAAATCAACCTCAGAGAAGAAAAAAAAAAATCTGTATCTCAGCATATAAAATTGTCAGGCATTTAAAAACGTAACAGTCTCCATCTTGCTTTCTACAAACATTTGGCTTTGGTTAATAACAAAGAAAATTCAAAATAGGCCATATTGGCTCACACTAATAAGAACTAATTTCTGAACAGACATCAATGTTTATACAAAAATATTTGAATCACTAAAATACCTTCTTGAAACATTTTCACAGATACAGTGCAAAACATTGATTATGCAATACTTCCATTGTTGTTACAGATCAACATTAAAATTCTCCTACAAGAAATGTTTCATGGCCTGAAATCTTCTCGACTAAGATCTCAAAAAGAAAAAAACAAATCTTTGCTTCAGAAGCGGGTTTTCACAATACTATTTACTCAATAGTCAATATACTAGAGTTAATTAATGAACTAATGAGCAACACAACATACAAGAACATCCTATGGCTCACCAGAAAATATATGGAATGAACCATCCTAACAGAAGTACAGAAAGCTCAGCTGAACCCAAATGTTACTGACACAGATGGGAACAATGTGTTGTACTGACAACTATGATACTTCTGTTGAACTGTGTATTTAGCCTGCTGCATGGATCTCCCCTGGATGCACTGGTGTAGGTAGCTTTCACTGCAAATAGTGACTGAAATCAGAAATAAAACTGAACTTGAACTGATCTCATTGCCTGGTATGTCTACA